TGGAGGAAATGCCTTCGCCTGCCTTTGCTCCATGAGAGGGGAAGAGCGCTACAAAGACCGTTTGAGCTTTTCAAGCGGTGACAGCGACCTTCCCGTCCGTGCTCGACTTGGCATACGCGCAGGATATAAGTTTAAATATGTGGACCAGACGATTGCACTGCACCACCGCTTTCACACACTTCACCACGGATCTCCTCGACCTCAGCTCGAAACCCACGTTTAACTCACTCAGTAAAGCGTGCAGCCTGGTCCGCCTCTCATATGGAGCCCCATTCCACCTGTACCTGGGCGCCGAGTACCACAGCGAGCCGCTACTCAGCCAGGCAGGCGTTCGCCAATGTGACCCCCTCGGCCCGCTGCTATTTGCGGCAGGCATGCACCCGACCCTCGAATCCACCGCTGCAGCCTTTCCAACCGTCCTCTGCCTAGCATATGCGGACGACGTGATGTTCCTTAGAGCAGTGGTCAACTGCGCATCCGCTTTCAACCACTTCCCGTCGCAGCTGACGGGCGTGGGGCTGATACAGAATCCGACAAAGTGCTCGGCCTGGAGCCACAGCTTGGAGGACGAGACCATCTTGCTTGCTGGGGTCCCATTCAAAGCGGAGGGACTACGTGTCCTGGGCAGCCACATCGGCCCGGAAGAAGGAGCGGCCACATTCCTTCAAGACCAGCGGGCCAAGATGGCCGCCCCACTACCACTCATTGGCGAGCTGAACCCGCAGATAGCCAATCTGCTCTTGACCAAGTGCATGTCAAGGCGGGTGTCTTACCTGGCCCGCACCACACCCCTCCACCTCCTACCAGAATCTGAATGGTCCCGCTGGGGCGAGGCGCAGCTCCTCACGCTCCTGGACGCCTGCGGTGTTCACCACCCAAGAGGGTTAGCAGAGGAGCAATGGGTGTGGGGACAGGCCTCTCTACCACCGTCTCTCGGGGGCCTCGGCATAACAGACCCCGCGGTCGAAGGAAGATACAGCTTCTTAGTAAGTTTCGTACAAGCGCAGAACTTACTGGGCTCCCGCGGGGCTCCACCTGACTGGCACCTTGGCGCAGCCAGCAGTTGACAGCATGGACCAGCATCAGCTACAGTGGCTGATGGAATGTGAAGCCGCCTTGGGGGAGGAAGCCTTGGAGTTGCTGTCAACAGAGCAGACTGCCCCTACAAACAGACTGCAGCACAGCCTCGCCCTTCTTGTTCAGGGCAGCCGCTTCGCCGCGCAGTTAGTGGCCTCAAGACAGATGGAACTAAACTCGCTGGTAGGACACACGTAGCCTCTCTCTGACAGGTTTTGGGGCAGGGGATTGGCTGCTCGCCATCCCATACATGCCCTCCCTCCGCCTCAGCCCGGAACTGTTTGCATTTGCACTACAATTCCGGCTTGGACTACCCCTCCCCGTACTGGACTGCTGTGACTGCCGTGACAGGATCCCAATCCTAGACAAACAGCTACCCAACCACCTTCTTTGCTGCGGCACGGGACATGGACGGACAGGCACACACAACGGAGTGAGGGATGAATGCGTGCGCATGGGACAGGACGCGGGCTTCACAGTACACAAGGAGTCAATGGCGTTTTGCCCAGTGGACAAGCAAAAGGCTGACCTAGCACTTCGGGACCGTACCTCAGGTGCAGTTTATTTGTGTGACGTCACGGTCACCGACCCAATCAGCAGTCGCGATGAGAATGCTACAAAGGGGAGGGGCTGGATGGCGTGGGAGATGGCAGACAAGAAGATAGCGCACTACAGGACCCTGCTTGCCGTGGGTTGGTTTCTTCCCACTGGCAGTCGAAACCTATGGGTGCCCCTGCGAGGAGGTTCCTGCCTTCCTCAAGCTACTTGTCGACTCGGCAGGCCGCAAACTTTTCAAGTTTCCTACCAAGTGGCAAAGATGATGCACCAGTACCGGCAAAGATGGTCCATCTCCCTGTAGAGGGGACAAGCCCTCAGCTACCTTAAGAAGCTGAATCTGGCTGGACAAGCAGAGAACCCGCCAGTCGGAGGGCCAGAGGGGGTACTGAACCCAGGGGACTGCTTTGCTACCTTGGAAGGTTAGAGAGGGAAGGGGATGGTTAGTTAGTTTGTTAAAGGTCAAGTTGGCTCTACTTGCTCTTACCTGTACTACACGTTCTGTATCAATGACACGTCCATTCGAGAGGGAGAGAGACGTACATGCGTTCGAGGTTGACATGCCAGAGAGAGAAGTCAGGTAAATGACCTGTGAAGCCGTTTCCTGCCACGTTACTGCACAGTGGGCAGAGGGCAGACGTCGCAAGGCAGCATCATAAGCAGCAGAGCAGATGTGGGATCTAGGAAAATGACTTGGAGCAGAATGACAAGCAATGTGAGAGGGACTTGGTGGAGAACACACAGTGTTTTCAAAGAGTTGGAAGCCTTGAGAGACGTTGGAAGGCCCCCCGAGAGGAAGTTGTTGGCCACTTGCCTGCAAAGAAGGGAGTGAGGTGGGGGGGAGAAGGGGCGGTTGCATGCTAAACAAGCCAGAATCGCCTGTTAATAGAATGCATCAGAGGCTTGAAAATGTAGGCAGAAGCTGCAGATGTGAAGGCAGGGAGCATAAAGGCAAGCAAGAAGCATGAAGTAAGCATGCGAGAAAGAAAGGAAAAAAAAAGGTGTGCTGAAGACAAAGGCAATCAATAGGGGCACTCACAATAAGTTGAGCAAAGGGAGGTGGAAGAGGCCAAGCGGGATAACTCTACGGAACATGTTGTCACTCAGATTGCTGACAACAGCAACCTCAAGGGCGAGAGGGAGATGACAGATGATCATGAGGTGCTAAATGTGTATGATGAAATTGCTTGAGACTCGTCCCCGTAGAACCCTGTCCTGTCCTGTGCAATGATACAACCTCATTCATCCCGATCCCACCTACCCCTTCTCCTAAACATGACACTCTCGTGGCTCTGTGTGTGTGTATGTGTGTGTGTGTGTGTGTGCTCTTTGGGTGCAGCCTGCAGTTGACTTTTGAGGTGACTTCTGAGTCGACTCAAAAGTCGCACTCCCACAGCTACATGTGTGTGTGTGTGCTTTGGCTGCAGGCTACAGGTAAGAGGCATGTGGGGTGCGAGCGACTCACATGTCTATCCGGTTGACAAGCTCTGTGAGTCGGTTTGGGATGAACCGGGAGAGACTCAGATTGCTGACACGAGCGATCTCATGGTTGAGAAGGAGACCAGAGATGATCATGAGGTGCTAATCGTGCATGATGAGATTGCTTAAATATCGTCCTGTGTGATGATACGTCCTCGTTTATTCCGGTCCCACCCCTTCTCGTACTCAGCCATGGCACTTCTGTGGCTGTGTGTGTGTGTGCCTTCGGTGCAGCCAACAGGTGACGCGACTTCGAGGAGAATTTTGAGTCAACTCAATAGTCGCACTCCCACGGCTGCATGTGTGTGTGCTTTGGCTGCAGTCTGCAGGCAAGAGGCATGTGCTTTGGGTGTAACTCACATGTCTACTAGGCTGACAAGCTCTGTGAGCCGGTTGGGGATGAACCCGGTAGAACTGTTGTTGCTCAGATTCCTGCAGCAATTGCCATGGCCACAGAAAGCGGCGATAATGTCAGCCCCATCTTCAGATAAGTTCTCAGGCGCCTCAAAACTCAGTATACCCATCATATGCCTTTGGGTGAGGCATTGCCTTTGGGAAGGACGAGTATTTAGGAAGGATAAGACTCACATCTACAGAAATCGCCGGTGGCTTTGGAAGCAACATTGCTTCTGTGTGGTTGCGTGTTTCGGTGATTTGAGGGAGCTCTTGACAGCCTGCTCAGGTCAGGTGCCCCTCCTACAGAATTTCGAGGTGGCTCAGGGAAGGATCCCGTGAAGTGGTTGTTCTGGATGCTTGTGAAGGGCGTCAGGAGATGGGCGTTGGGGGTTAAATCGATGGATGGGCTAATGCACACTTATGCACAAAGTCCTTAGGATACACACCACCAGTGCATACATATGGCGACACACTTGCACAAGTTCTCTCACAACGTAGATATGCATGCACTCATAGATTCACGCGCCCACCCTTAAGTGGACAAGTGAATGCATGTACATATGCACCCGGAAACACATGGGAAAGTAGAAACACGCGTCTCCACCACATGAGCATCCATGCATGCCTTTGCCGTTGCCATGGATGGACAATTTCTTCATACCTCCCTGCTTTGTCATTCATTCTCCTAACTAGAGATGCTGAAAGATGGACATATACTCAGTTAGATGACAGACTCTTACCCCACATCTACTGTTGGTATATTAGAAAGGAAGAAGGAAATCATCAGACAGCAATACCAACGGAGAATGACTCACATGGACATGAGGCCCTTGATAGCAGCAAAGGACACGGGTAGGACACCGGAGAAGTTGTTTGTATGGAGGTCTCTATAAGGATTGGATTGGATGGGGGCAGTTAGACTTAAGAGAGGTGGACACATGAATAAGAGCCGCAGCAGCTAAGCAGGTCCTGAGTGGGGAGGAACGTGAAGGCATGCAGGTGGTGGATGGCGAGCAAGTGACTGAGCTCACATGTCTGTGAGCCATGTCATCTGAGCAACCACGTCCAGGCCTGAGCTCAGGCTGTTGTTGTATGTACATGTACCTGTGGTGTGGTGTGGTGTGGTGTGGTGTGGCATAGTGGTGTGGCGTGGTGTGGCATTTGTGCACAAGCACATGGCAGAAGTGATTTAGTCCAGAAGATGGTTGTGGTAGACAAACATTGGGTTTGCAAGGACAGGGACAGTAAGTGAGAGGAGAGCAATGAGCATGCTTAGCAGTTGCAATGAGCATGCTTGCCTAGTTATATCAGCGTTCACCTGGCCTCGGCTTCAGACAGCACAGTGCAGTGGCAAGAAAGCACAGCAGTAGATGGCGTTTAAGTGAAGGCTGTTTGACTACACGGAGATGCAATGCCGGTGAGCGTGGTGAAAGTGTGGGGAATGCCGCCTGTGAACCGATTGCTGAACAACTCCCTGTAGGCAGGGCGATTGCTCAGAGAAAGAAGGAAGAGGGGAGGAAGAGGGGAGCAAGAGGGGAGGAAGAGGGGGGGAAGAGGGGAGGAAGAGGGGAGGACGAGGGGAGGAAGAGGGGAGGAAGAGGGGAGGACGAGGGGAGGATGAGGTGGAGGAAGAGGGGAGGAAGAGGGGAGGAAGAGGGGAGGAAGAGGGAGGAAGAGGGGATGAAGAGGGAGGAAGAGGGGAGGAAGACGGGAGGACGAGGGAGGACGAGGTGGAGGAAAAGGGGAGGAAGAGGGGAGGAAGGGGGGAGGAAGAGGGGAGGAAGAGGGGAGGCCAACGCATGCACATCTATCAGAGAGTGTATGGCTCAGCTTGACAGCCATATATTTTGACAGTTACAAATTCAACATACAAATAGGAAGGGAGGGTTGAGCGTTGGAAATACAGAGATAGGAATGCAAGGGATGCTATTGAGAAGCGTGGAGGGAGGGAGGTGCATGCATGCCACTGCATGGTGGGCAGAGGTGGGCTCACAGCTGGACCAAGCTAGGCAGTGCGAGATGCGGCGGGATGGGTCCAGAAAAGCTGTTGTAGCTGAGCATTCTGAGGGAGGCAACATGGGTGGCGTGGATATGGCTCAGGAGCGACTCTAAGGTGAGCTTCCTACCTTCGTTGCATTCACGAGCCATGAGAGAACCACAGCGGGTGCGGCACGCATGCATCATGAGTTGATCGAATGCCTCAAAATTGAGGAGAATGGAACAGAACAGAGGGTGCCAAGGGAGGAGGAGGGGGGAGAAAGGGGAGGGGGGTGGGAGGGTGGGGGGGGGGGGGGTGGGGGGTGTGGGGAGGGAGGGGGGGGGTGGGGGGTGTAGCGACAGAGGAAAAAAGCGGAAGGGAGTGAAGAAAAGGCAGGCAGGAAAGGTGAAAGAGGGAGTGCGAGTGGTGGAGGAGGGAGACGGGCATACACAGTCTGGATGTTGCTACTGAAGACTCGGAGCACCGAGCCAGAAAAGTAATTCGAGGAGAGGTCTCTGAAAATACGAGGGAGGGGCACAACCATGTCTTATTGATAGGCGGTTTCTTCCAGCAAGAGGAGGGGAGTGGGGAAGGAGAGGGAAGTGGAGGCAGGACTAGTTGGTTGCTCAGGGAGGGGAAGCCAGACAGAGGGGAGATAGGGGGAGTGGGGGGTTGGGGATGAGGTGGTTGAAGAGGGAGCTAAAAAGAGAGAAACATGTCATCACCAGGACAGGACACGTACAGTTCAGCGAGGGCGGTCAATGCAGATGTCGGATGCCATAGGCCCCACCTCCTCCACCCTCTTAGAGATCCCCTCTCTCCCTGTCTCTTCCCTTGTGCCATTACCCTCTCACCCTCTTCGTGAGATGATTCTGGTTTGATCCTCGTGCTCTTGACCCTCCCTCCTTTCCTTCCCTCCGACCTCTTGTGCTCAGGTTGCCTCTAGCCATTCGAAAAAGTCCCTACTCCATTGACTGGTTCCTCTGATCTGGCTTGCTACGCTTAGGATTCAAAGCATTCACAACTCCAGTAGTATGAGAAAACAAACAAACAAGCGCTCAGCACTAGCCAGCTAAAGGTCTATATATACAAGGGACTTTCTCTAGCTGCTATTCTCAGCGTGAGGCATAGCGTGAGGCCTGAACCTGCACACACGCAAACAACAGGCAAACAAACATCCGACATGCGCAATATCTACACCGTACATCCAGCCCACCTATGTACATGCGGTAATCTCCGCCGTCCACCCCTCCCATGGTTGCCACCTGCCTGCCAAACCCTCGCAAGTCATGTGAAACTCTTTCCCACGTCTACCATCACTGTACTCGCGCGACGACTGCATGCGTCGGTACTCCCTCCCACTGTACACCTTTGCTATAACCCCAGCTGGCTTACCGCGCATGGAAACTGCTCCGTTGTAAGGGTCTTCACTGTTGCATTTCGGCTACACCACCTCTGCTCTTCTCGTCGATGCAATACCAACCGCTTGTTTGTATTTCATGCGACACAGAGTATGCTTCGGGGATGGTGTCTTGCATGCACATGGTTCAAGCTCAGATCCCTGCAAGAGAAGTGACATGAAGGGGAGAAGATTGACTTGCAAGACACGGAAACACGGGCCGGAATTGACGGATTGCAAGTGCACTCGTAGAAGAGAGAGTATCAACTCTAGTCGGCACTTTTCTGTCTCACACGTCAGCCTGATGGTCAAGTGTCCCACACAGGGCAGGCTGGTCAGGAAGTGCCTCGCTTACAGAACAGCCAAATTGGCAAGTGTGGAGAAGCCTTTGGGCAGGGCGCCTTCCAGGTTGTTCCCCGAGAGGGACCTGCAGTGTGCAGTGCATGACAGGGGGGGGGGGGGGGGGGGGGTAAGGTAAAGGATGTATGCATGTACACCAATGTGGCATTAGGCTGTGCAATGGGGTACGTGAGGCTGTGCAACAAGAAACGTGAGGCTGTGCAACGAGGTACGTGAGGCTGTGCAACGAGGTACGTGAGGCTGTTCTGTGCTGTGCTGCGCTATGCTATGCGCACTCACAGTTGAGTGAGTGCTGTCAACTCTGAAAGGCCTTCTGGCAGCACTCCCTGCCTCCTTGGCTCGTCGTTGATCACTCGCCTGCTCACAGGCATGGGCAGGCAGAAGGGAATAGGAGGGGCGATTCTGCACAAGGTGCGTGTAGAGGAGGTGCGGCGTAGTTTTGAGTCGACGTGCAAGTCAACTTCTTTGCTCGTTGTTCTCACACGGGCAGGCAAGCGGGCAGGCAGGTGCTCACCAGTGGTGGGAAGGGCCGGCGCTCGGCGGGTGGCGGCAGGGTAGGCGCACGACGGCGGCGACGGTGGGGCCGCAGCAGCAGCTGCAGAGTAGGGCCGCGGTAGCTGCAGGGTGGGGCCGCGTCAGCGTCCAGGCGGGGCCGCGTCGGCGGCAGGGCGCGGTCACGGCAACTGCAGGGCGGGGTCGCGCCAGCGGTAGGTCGGGGCCGCGTCAACTGCAGGGCTGGCGCGGCCGCGTCGGCGTCAGGGCGCGGCCGCGTCAGCTGTAGGGCTGGCTAGGCCGCGTCAGCAGTAGGGCGCGGCCGCGTCAGCTGCAGGGCTGGCGGGGCCGCGTCAGAAGCAGGGCGGGGCCGCGTTGGCAGCAGGGCGGGCCGCGACCGCAGCCTGACGGAGCCGCGACAGCGATTTGGCGGGGCCGCGTCGGCGGCAGGACGGGGCCTCGACCGCGGCAAGATGGGGCCGCGTCAGCGGCAAGGCGGGGCTGCTCGCACTAGTGGTCGCGGTTCGCGTCAGCGTCCTCCCCCTGTCCCCGGCACGCACCGGATGTCTCTGCGTCCTTCCACTGCTCCGCTGCGTGCCCCTTTGCCTTCTCCTCATGAGTCCTCTCTTCCTGCTCTTGCTGACCCAGAGTCGGACTCCCTTCGTGCAGCCAGTCCTACTGTCGCGCGTCTCCTTGCTACTGTCGTGACTGACCCTTCCTTCGAGTCCACTGCTGCGTCTGCCTTAGTTGCTGAGCTTGTCGACTTTGCTGCTCGCTGTCGTCTAGACTACGCTGCTAGTCTTGTTGCTGAGTCTGAGTCTGTCTGTCCTCCGTCCGTCGGGGGTGAGTGTGCCCTTGGCACGGACGTCCTTGAGGACAGGCAGGAGGAGTTCCAGTGCTTTGCTGCTGCTTCACCTCATCTCGTGTCCATGCTGCTGGCCCCTGAGGGAGACCCGGATGCACCAGACATCCCGACTCCGCGCTCTTACGAGGAGGCGATAGAGGGTCCCTACTCCTCTCAGTGGCAGGCAGCCATGGACGCAGAGATGGCTTCCTGGAAGTCCACAGGCACCTACGTCGACGAGGTTCCCCCTCCTGGGGCGAACATCGTCAGTGGCATGTGGATTTTCAGGGTGAAGCGGCCCCCGGGTTCTCCGCCTGTCTTCAAGGCGCGTTACGTGGCTCGAGGCTTCAGTCAGCGGCAGGGAGTTGACTACTTTCAGACCTTCTCTCCCACCCCGAAGATGACCACTCTTCGGGTACTACTGCACATTAGCCGCTCAGCGCGACTACGAGCTTCACTCTCTTGACTTCAGCACTGCTTTCCTATAGGGTAGCTTGCACGAGGAGATCTGGTTGCGCCGCCCACCTGGCTTCACTGGGTCTTTTCCTCCTGGCACCCAGTGGAGCCTCCGGCGGCCAGTCTACGGACTCCGCCAGGCACCTCGTGAGTGGCACGACACACTGAGGACTACACTTGCGGCTCTTGGATTTGCTCCTTCTACTGCCGACCCGTCGCTGTTTCTGCGCACTGACACCTCTTTGCCGCCGTTCTACATCCTCGTGTACGTCGACGACTTGGTCTTTACCACAGCTGACACTGCTGGACTCGCCCACGTGAAGTCCGAGCTGCAGAAGAGACACACGTGCACAGACCTCGGTGAACTGCGCAGCTACCTTGGCTTGCAGATCACCCGGGACAGAGCACAGCGCACCATTACCCTGACTCAGTCACACATGGTGCAGCAGGTCCTTCAGTGCTTCGGCTTCACGTACTCCTCGCCACAGGCCACTCCTCTCTCTACTCCCCACTCGCTCTCAGCTCTGCCTTCGGATGAGTCCGTAGAGCCGAGTGGCCCGTACCCAGAGCTTGTTGGCTGCCTCATGTACCTGATGACCTGCACACGACCTGACCTTGCATACCCTCTTAGCATTCTGGCACGCTATGTTGCTCCTGGGAGACACCTCCCTGAGCACATGGCTGCAGCGAAGAGGGTGTTGCGGTACTTGTGCAGTACGTTGGGCATGGGGCTAGTGATTGGAGGGCGGAGTCCAGTGGTCCTCACTGGTCAGGCAGACACGTCTTGGGTTGACGACTTGGCTACGCAGCGGTCGTCACAGGGTTACACCTTCAGCCTTGGTTCCGGTTCTGTTTCGTGGCGGTCTACCCGCTCTTCTTCTGTTCTCAGCTCCAGCTGTGAGGCTGAGATCTACGCAGGGGCCATGGCTGCACAGGAGTTACGCTGGCTCACCTACCTGCTGACTGACCTCGGAGAGCCGCCTCGTTCTCCTCCAGTTCTGTACATAGACAACAAGGCCATGCTGGCCTTGTGTCATGAGCACAGACTGGAGCACAGAATGAAGCACATTGCTCTTCGCTACTTCCTTGCTCGTGAGCTGCAGCAGCGTGGTCAGCTGCGACTTGCTTACGTGGCCTCTCAGGCCAACACTGCTGATATCTTCACTAAGGCACTCGCGCCTTGTGATCATCAGCGCTTCTGTACTCTGTTAGGTCTTGTACCTACTTTGCCTCACTTGCTCACTTCTTGACCTAACTTGTACTTTGACCTATATATACTTGCACTTGCATGTTTAACTTTATATATATATCTCTGCATGTGAACTGGAATTGTGGCCCTTGAACTTGTGCTCAGAATATGTGGTGACGTTGTGATCCACCCTGAGCTTGCTGTGCTTTGCTTGACTGGTCTTGTGACCCCTTGTTCTCCCCCACTTTGCCTATGGGGGTGTGTCAAACTTACATGCTATAGTCTTTCTAGGCTGTAGTGGGGTAGACAGTATGGGGTACAGCTTTCTAAGGTTTCATATTTGTACCCAACTCATTTCCT